TCCTCTTCAGACTCACGAAACACATGCAATGACGCCGAGTGTAGAAGATCACAGGCCAGTGGGTAGAAAGTCTTTGGATCCAGTGGCAGTGGAAACATCTCAGCGCTGGCTGGGGTCTGTGCATCAGGGTGGGTCCATGTGTCTTGTCAGCTGCTATGTCTCCCAGGGTGTGAGCAGAGAGAGACAGTGTCTCCCACCTCCAAGGAGGAAGTACTGGATTTCCCAGAATTCTCAGGAGAAGACCAAGCCCACCCAGAGACCTCCTTGGCTATGATCTGATTGACAAGCTAGACTCCACCCCTACACTCTTAATCCTCAAACTGACAAACAATTATGCATCTCCCACAATGCTCTTCTCCAGGGCCTGGTTCCTCCTGACGACATGTCCAGAGCCCATGAGACAAAGTCCCACCATCCTGGCCTCCGAGGAGCGCTCTGGCTGCACTGCTTCCAGGACGGATCTGTTTGTGCTCTGGCCGTCCACGGGGCTGTCAATGTTCTTGGCCAGCATCCTCGTTCAGATGCATCTCTCCTTTTCGTGCACCGTCATTCGAATGCACTGGTCCTGCTTTGGTCTTCCTTACTCAGTGTTCAGCTTTCCGATGCCCAGGAGAGGGAACAGGCCATCGCTTGGGTCAGGCGCACCTCACAGTCAGAGCTTGGTTTCAGGCCATCTTCTGGTGGACACTGTGTCAATCCACCTCTGTCACTGACCCTACCAAGCATGATGTCCTTCTCCAGGGACTAGTTCCTCCCGATAATGTCCTAAACCCTCGAGACCAAGTCTTGCTAGCTTCATCTCCAACGAGCAGACTGGCTGCACGTCTGCTTGCTCTGCTGGCCATCCTCGGCCCTTGGCCCGCACTGTCATTCAAAGGCACGATGCTTGTCCTGTCCTCCTGCTTCATGGCCCTGCTTTGACACGTGGACGAGGCCATTGACAAGACCTTGGCTCGGGTCAGCCACACCTTAGAATTAGAGTACCACCTTTATTCCTGACATCTTAAAGAGGCCTCTGGAGCATGTTTGCCCAATGCAGTGTATCGTTCGATTCCTTTCTTTTTTATTTTTAACAGGGGCAGTTTTAATTCATTGAAAGCAATGTCGGAGGCAGGAAGACCACATTAAACGTGATCTCCTCTTACCAGGGGAGCTGGCCATTTTGTATGCATTCTGCTCCAAGAAGGCCCATTCTGAAGTGTTGCCAGGAGACAAGGGGTTTGGAGTGCCAGTCACTGTTGCCCATGAAGACAAAGACAGGCTGTCGTGAGAAGTTCTGTTTATCTCTGCGAGAGCTGACAAAAATAAACAGTGGGGTTTGCTAACTCTTAACTGCTCCAAAGACTCAGTGAGAATCCAACAAGTTATAGACCCCAAACACGGGCTGGTGGAACTGGTGTGGGGGCAGGGCGGGGATCGCTGCCAGGTTTTACAAGAGGCCCAGGAGATCATTAGCAAGTGTTACCATAACCAGGACCTTAACCAGGGTGAACAGGCTCCACAGCATCACCACCTACATTTCCCCCGGGAAGGATCAGGCTGTCCTGTGGTAGCAACATTTCTCCAGGGGCTGTCTCACCCAAACTGGCCCCATTGCTGCTGTACATGGCCTTGCTTGCCTCCACAGTTAGAACATCCTTCCTGGTTCACTTTACTGCAAGGGAGGGGGCTGTGACATCTTGGGTCCCTTTAGACCAGTGGTTCTCAACCTTCTTCATGCTGTGACCCTTTCATGCAGCTCCTCTTTTTTTTTTTTTTTTTTTAGTGAATGAGAGTAAGTGAGAGAGTGAGTGAGAGTTGAGTGAGTGAATGAGAGTGAGTGAGTGAATGAGAGTGAGTGAGAGAGTGAGTTGAGTGAGAGAGAGTGAGTGAGTGAGAGAGTTGAGTGAGTGAATGAGAGTGAGTGAGAGAGTGAGT